CAATGTAAAATTATTCTAATAATTTGTCTTTTGTGATTGATTTAGTTTTGTAGGATCAGTATTGATTGTTATGGGACTTTATGGTGTACTATGGGGGAAGAATAGAGAAATCGAGGTCATTGTTCATAATATTGAGGATCAAGATGAAGAAAGAATTACAGCAAACGAATTTGAAATTACAACAAGAAATGGAGAAATTACTGCACCAAATGGCATGGAAGTTACAGAAACAAATGGCATGGAAATTACAGTTATTTGAGCACTCAATTATCAACCTTATCTGATACCTAGAGATAAATCAAGGGGAAAAAACTTGGTTGTTGTACGAAGGATGCACTCGGGATCTCAAACTTTGTGTATCGTGAAAAGTTAGTCGAGTGAACATGGATTCACACAACATATCCTATGTACGAGAAATAATTTCGTTTATTATAAAGTTCGAAGTTATATAAGTGATGGATGGTAATACAAAGCCTTGTAGAGAAAATTTTGTGACCAGACAACTCATACAAATACAAGGTTTATGCACAATCATGTTTGAATGAATAGAGTTGGGTTAAATACACAATGAGTTGCATACGAGACAAATTTCACGTAAGCCATTTGATGGTTTGAACTAATAACATTGGGTGTCCGCGATATGGAGTTACAAGTCAACCGTGTTAGTTCTAACATCCACGTCAGCAGTTCACATAATTTGAGTAGCGACAACAGTGACCAAAGTAGTTACATATGAGTTTAAATTGAAGTTTGGTGACTTGATTGGAAGAATTAAAGATGATTGTTCTAGATGCAATTCTGCTGAAAGTTGAGGGAGCCGCAATGCATTCAACTTGGATGAAATTTGTCAATACGAAGGAAAAGCAAAAATTAAAATAATCTTAGGCCCTGTTTGGTACATGTTATTTTTTTCATTCTCATTCTTCTACTCATTTTTAACCACACATTCTTCAATAAAATAATATTTTCCATCACATCAATAACTTTTCCTTCTTTTTTAACCATTCATTCTCCATCAATCTATTATTCAATAATACATTCTTTCAAAAGAATGTGTCTCAAACACACTCTTAATCTTTATACTATTTAATTGTGCCAATTGCACCAAATATGCCTTTCGAGGCACAATGGATTTTATGATGGTTCCCTTTTTCCTTAGAGTGTGACAAGTATTTTAATATTTAAAAGGTGAGTTCGAAGGCCTATTCTAATGTAAGAAAATAAGTGGGTTGAGGTCATGAATTTACTTAGGCCTTGTTTGATAGCCTCTATTTTTCTTGGAAGTTGGAATTTTTTTTTCCTATTTTCCACCTTTTTAGTTGTTTGATAGGTATAATTTTCTTGGGAATTTGTTTTTCACACCCGCTCATGTGACCCATTTTCTTGAAAATTGATGAAAACTTTTTCCCACCATTTTGATGGGAAAAGTTTTTCCAGGCTGTTGCTGCTGTTTTTTTTTTTTTTGGTTGGAATGAAAAAAAATGTCATAACCAATTGTAAAAAAAAATCACTTTAATTGAGAATTTTCATATAAAATAAAGTCAAACAAACACTAAATTTTGAAGAAATAAATGATTTTTTAGGAAGATTTTTTTTTTTTTTAACTTTTTGGCAATAGAAACAAATTTTATAACCAATTATGAAAATATTTATCACTTCAATGGACAATTTTCATGTAAAACAAAGTCAAACGTAGAGGTATCAAGACGGACTGATCGACCAGACCCGTGAAAACCGTCCCGGATTGACTTGGGACCGCGGGCCGACCCGTGACTCGAGTGGGCGGTTCACGGGTCAAGGAGGTGTGACCCGTGAATTTCGCGGGTTGCACCTTTACGGACCGTGGTTAACCCTCTGGCTCGTGAAAAAAGAAAAAAAATTTGAAAAAATTTGAAATTTTTTTATAATAAAAGTATGTGTCAACCTAGTTGGGATGTAATTATGCTATAAATATTTGATAATAGTAATTAGAAATGCATTTAGTTGTTATTTGTTTAAATTAAATTTAACTTTGCAAAGTTATAAATAATTCATGTAACATTAAATTTGAATTATATGAAAACATTTCTTGGTATAAATA